ATAGATATATATGTATATAGATATATATATAGATAGATATATATGTATATAGATATATATATAGATAGATATATATATATAGATAGATATATATATATAGATAGATATATATAGATAGATAGATAGATAGATAGATATATATATATATATAGATAGATAGATATATATATATAGATATATATATATATAGATAGAAATATATATATATATATATATATATATATATATATATATAGATATATATATATATAGAGAGAGAGATATAGAGATATATATATATAGAGAGAGATATAGATTAGTTAGATATCGCTCTATGGCCTTTAGGTCATATTGAGCGCTCTACAGGATGAGCCATGCCGCTTACGCATTGCGCACGCTCACTGCTTGCAGTTTGAGCGCTCTGGCATGGTTTTGATGTCCCACAATCGTGAGGCATCAAAGGTAACTATAAATAAGAGTTACTTTCATCCTGCTCATCAGCACTACACTGATGAGGCCCATTAGGCCGAAACGGTACCGTCTGTAGTTAGATATCGCTCTATGGCCTTTAGGTCATATTGAGCGCTCTACAGGATGAGCCATGTATATATATATAGAGAGATAGAGATATATAGAGAGATATATAGAGATATATAGAGATATATAGAGATATATATAGAGATATATATAGAGATATATATAGAGATATATATAGATATATATATATATATAGATATATATATATATATAGATATATATATATATATATATATAGATATATATATATATAGATATATATATATATATATATATATATATATATATATATATATATATATATATATATATATATATATATATATATATATCTAGATATAGATATATAGAGAGAGATATAGAGATATATATATATAGAGAGAGATATAGATTAGTTAGATATCGCTCTATGGCCTTTAGGTCATATTGAGCGCTCTACAGGATGAGCCATGCCGCTTACGCATTGCGCACGCATATATATATATATATATATATATATATATATATATAGATATATAGATATATATAGATATAGATATATATAGATATAGATAGATATAGATATATATATATAGATATATATATATTAAAAATTGTACATGTTGCTACTCAGAGTTTCATGCAATTTCACAATCTTCAGGCAACTGTTATTACAAGTTCAGTTCTTTTTGTTGACGCTACTACTCACTAACGGTTTGCTGACGCGTGTGTTCGTTTGTCGCGCGTGTTCGTTTGTCGCACACGTTCGTTTGTCGCACACGCTCTCAAATTTTCCCGTGTGGAATTTCTCTGCGTGGTGGCACTTCGCAAATATTTCTGATCTTCGATTAAGGGCTTTATTTGCCTTTAAAAGGCACAGTTTTTCTTCAGTGCACAAACTGCAGTGCTTTCCACCTTCCGAATACGATGGAGCTCGTTTCAAGATTGACCACTTGATTCCGTATTTGGAAAGTTCTGTGTCAAATTCATATCTTTTGTGCTTGAACGATTTTATGTGGTTTCGATATCTAACTTTGAAATTGTTTGCCATCATTCCGATGTATTCCTTTGTTTTTATCTCTGCCTTGTAGACTACACCTTTCGTTAAACGCTTTCTGGAGTGGGCATTCACTAGGGATTCGGCAATCACACAATTTGCTTGGGCTTTCGATTGGCTCTGCTTTCGCCAGGACGCGCTTGTTGTGCAGCTGTGACTGACTTTGATGGAGTTACGGTTGAAGATCTTGTGAAGGGGGTTTGCTTTCGGAAAGTGCTTGTCAAGTAATCGTAGAAAGTCCCAAGCAATGTTTGAGCGAACATTTTTGCTAAAAGGAGGGTTGAACCAGATGATGTTTCTTTGATGTTTCTGTTTCTGGGTTGTAGTTGATGGAGGATTATCAGGGGAATATTCAAGCTTGCCGTTGTAATTACTCTTGTACAGAACTTCTTATATACGTTGGGCCACAGAGTCAAAGGCTAGTTGACTAGATGACAGAGACGAGATTCTTCGGTTAATCGATGCCGGTAGATGTTTAGTAATGGAGGGTGGGTGATTTGAGCGTTTGTCTATATATAACAGATTATCGCCTGGTTTCCTGTATGGTGAGTAACTCCCGTCTTTAAGATTAAAGGTTACATCCAGGAAGTTTACCAGTTGATGATTTACTTCGGCTGTGATTCTCAAACCAATTGAAGAAATTGGGCACAAAGGTCTTTCTTTGCTTTGTCTGCCAATCTACCGCTGGTGCTTTGAATTAGTGCCAAACCATCATCACGGTACAATCCGATGTTTTCTTTACCAAATTTCTTAGCAAGTGTATTTAATGCAAATAAACCAATTAGCTCACACATCAGCTCCGTCAAAGCTCCCCATAGCCACATCAAACATAGAGTTGTTGTTTCTTTTCACCCATGGTTTATTTGCATTAAATAATAAGGATTTTCGTGCATGCTTTATTATAGAAATGTGTTCGTCAGGTATGTCCACAAAGGTGCAAAAATCTGTAATCACTATGAACCAATCAAATTTTATTGTCTCGAACATTTTAATGTATAATATCATAGTTAATAAAATAGATGGTTTGGAAACTCATTAGAATAATCTACGTTAGTCAACGTTTATTCATAAATCTGGTCCTTTACTATCATGTGCGTATTGTATTTTTGCCAAACTAACCAATAGAATGTTTTAGGAAAGTTACCTATCCGTGACTTGAACAATAGGATAAATTGGAAATTGCTATTGGTGGATTTGGCAAACATACAATACACATGTGACGGTGAAGGGACATATTTATGAATAATCGTTGACTAACATCGATAATGAGTTATATTGTTATTGCAATGAGTTTCCAAACCATCTATTCTATTAACTATGATAATATTAATAAGTAATAGCATGATCCCTTGTGCAATAATAACCTATACAAATTGGGTAACATATTATCTGATTGAACTCGATCATCATCAATTTTAATAATGCTATATTATTTTTGCTTTTTATTCTTCACTATTTGAATAAAAACAACACAAGAAGAATGACCGCAAAGAATGAGCCATTGTAGTAGCACCAAGTATACCCATTTAACTAGTAAGATGTCAACAAAATGTTCATGTAAAATGTGAAACAACAAACATGGCATTATAGACCTTAAAAGGAGTTCAAATACTAAAACAGCTAAAAATATTGTTAACAATAGTTGACAAAAATGTACAGTAGTCAGTATTGTCAGATTTTTTGATTAACTCAATGTCAATAGAGCAAATGGTCATCTGGATAGGAAACAGGTTGAATAAGTCCACTACCAAAGTATATTGGCTGATTGAAATGATAAGGCATAAATCCTGGGTGATGGTGGGCAGGCTGTTGTGGTCGGTTAAAAGCATTTGCTAGTAGCACCATAGCTTGAGTCATATCTTGGGACATTTCTTTAAGTGTGGCAGACATATTTTCCATTGCACCAGTTGTAGTTGTTGACGAATGCTTGAAGCATTCCAAGCATGTGTCTTCGCATGGCTGCATCTTCTTAGCAACTTCAATAAGTTTCTGATCTCTTTGAGCTGCTGATAACCTTTTTTCTAGCCTTTTCCTCTTGTTGTCAATGAGCTTAGGCACATTTGGCACTACTTCCAATTCTAACATTCTCTTTTTACTTGTGCTGTGAGTAGAAACATCGAAAAAACTACTTTTAATTGAATTGTTATCCATATCAGATTCACTGTCTTCTGCTTCTTTCCCAACAGATATCGGAGTCAATGAGCGGATGCTTTCAATATCGGTATAAAATGTATACAATGAGACTAATGTAAAATTGATACCAATTGGCACACTTGCGGTTGCAACGCAACCCATTCTCGTCCATGCTCTGTAGACCGTGAATTTACTGCAATTTTCCTAAATGTTGACGTTGAACTATGCCCACTGGCTGACATGGGTGTGAGAATTTGGCTTCTCGCTTAAATAATAATAATTATTTCATGATTCTCTTTGTTTTATGTGCTTTTTCTTAAGGTGTCCGGTGTATGTAATGTCAATCGATGGATGATTTTCTTTTCCATAGCCCCTCATCCTTCACTAAAGCTTTAATGTATATTGGTGTTATAACTTCATATTTTAGTTGGATAGAAATTAATGGAATTTCAAACTGTATAATTGAACTTCATGATGACATAGATTCATATATTTATTATATAAAATTAAGTTCAGAACTATAACAAGATAACTGAATGGTATGCTGTAATAAAGCTACTTTTTAGCCCTGTCTACAGGAGTAAATTTATGCAACAACTTTTATGTGGAAAATTTTCAGCAAATGGATTTGCCACATAAAAATTCTCATAAAACGTCTCAATGGACGGACACAACAACAAGCTATATGCAAGACATAAGATTCTGTGGTTAAGAGAATGGGTGTCCAATTCAGATCCAAGATTAAAGGGACAGTGGTATTTAGAGTACCTTATGGAGACCAAGATAATTTCAAACATGATAACAATCGATAAGAGAACTGAAACCGGCATAATGAGTACAATGTATTTTTACGAAATCATGGTGACCAGTCTGATACCACTGACACCATAATCTTTGGACTTTCCACATTGAATCAGGTAAATTACCTAATCAGGATACTATTGCCATCTTCTAGACTAGCTTACAGAAGCCCAGAGACGACAGCATAAAACCACTTTTGTATTTAACATTTTTGTGTTTTATATTTTTGTGTAATTATAATGTTCTTACACGTGGGATTATAGGCATTTAGTAATACAAATTGTGATATTTATGTGTGTCTGAGTTGTTGATATGCATGTGATAATGCTCTTTATTTAAACAGGCATTTAGTATGTAACACACATTTCGCACAGTAAAATACAATGTCTCTGTAGCTTGACATATGCATTGTTGTACAAAAGTAAAAAGTTGAGCTGAAACATAAAAGTTAAAAGTGAAAGTATATAAACTAAGTAAAAATATATACTAGTTAAAAGAAAGCTTCGCATCGATCAAGGACTGACGAAATATACGAAAACCAGCAAATTTTAAAGAAATATGGTTGAACACGCTAAAGCCATTTCATCGATCGACCCAAGTGTTGAAGAAGATAAATTTGACATTGGCCGTTATCAAGTTGACAGCTTTAAGGCACGAATATGAAACGTGTACCTCTCGAGCAATTAGATTTCTCAATTTACAACTCAAATGCAAATCTTGTAGCTTATGGATGGATCAAAGCAATGCATATGGATGGATCAAAGCAATGCATCTGCACAACAAACATGGCTTCCTTAATGACGGCAAAATAATTACCCACTGGGAAGAAGAAAACAACCCGAATGATCCTACAAAATGTGACAAAGTAACAATCACCCTGAGATCCCAAGAAAACGAAAAAAATATAATCAGTATCACTGTTATGGTTGACAAAGGAAGAATCCAAATACAAGGCCACTTCATGAAAGAGTTGGGGCAGTGAGGAATTCCCCATATTAATCAAACTGATCAATAACCTAGACCTTATGAAATGCAACCCTGCAAAAAATCTTAACAATTTTACTGACAGAGAACCACCAACCAACAAACCCCAGCAACTTCTTGACAACCTGATCATGATCATCCTATTCCTTTGGATAGTGCATACACCATTCACCTAAAGAAAGACCCCTGATTAATACTGTTAAGACCAATTTGGCAACCCTTGAGACAGACTTCATCGAGTTTAAACAAAATACAAACAAAACAAAACCATCACAGAACTGAGCAAAACTATATTCGACAAAGATATACAAATTAAAAATTTGGAAAATGAGAATACCAACCTAAATTAGTTCAACACCGAGGAAACTTTTTGATTTCAACTGGGGGTCAACACATGCCTTTAGGATCGAGCTCTTCAGTATAGGGAGTTCAATATGCATGCAAAGAACATAGTTGTGCGCCATAAGATAATGAGGAACAATCGATTTATTTTAAAATAACAGTAATGTATCATGGTCATTTTGAAATAAGAAAGAAAAATTATAGCAAGAAATTTCGACTCCATGTGCCATGGCCATGTGCCATTGCCCTCTGCAACTTGAAGCTTTTTACTCCCTAATGAGAATCCCCATATAACGACCAGCTCATGTTATAAAAGTCCCCACCCCAAATGTACAGTTACTAGAATTTGGAAACCTGAATACAGAATACTAACAAGTGAAACATCTTTTGCAAGAGTCACAATCGATCCAGTTGATCAATTGTCCACCCTTCCTGCTTGGTGGGCTGTCTTTACCACAAAGAAGACATTGTTTGTTGCCTGCTTCAGTTCTGTCACGGTCAGTGGTAGATGTAGTTTCTTCTATATAAAAGTATAAAATCACTGTGCAATCCTTTGGGAAGAGAATCCTTGTAATTTTGAAATTAACCATTCCGAAGTTGATGAGTGGACTGGGAACGAGTGTTAAAAAGTGCCCAAATTAAAAAATGAACCAAATCACTAAGCATACAGAAGTTTGAAGATGTTTACATAAATACCCTTCGAATAATAGGCTTTTGAATATTGTGAAATTACTGATTAAAAGATGTACGCCCTCAAAAACAAAAATTACAGTACACTTCATAGTAAATATAGCGATGTTTGAAAGGTATTCATGTAAACGTCTTCAAACGTTGTATACTTACTAATTTTGTGGTGGTCTTTTTTGTGATTTGGTTCACTTCTTAATTTGGGCACTTTTTAACACTCGTTCCCAGTTATCTCATCAACTTCGGAATGGCTAATTGGAATAACATAATTACAATCTCGTTCCCCGAGCCTGTGATCCTCGGGAAGAAACGTGAGGCTCTGGGATAATCTGTTTCAGGGAGGAATCTGATTGGCCGTGGAAATGGAATGCGTAGTTCAATCTTAGCCAGGATTCCTGGCTTCCAGCAACGGACTATGACAGAGCCTCCCGTTCCTTCCCGAGGATCGCAGGCTCAGGGAACGAGATTGGCATAATTGGAAAAGTGTTTATATAACAATAATTAGCTACACTTGCACTAGCTATATTTAGTATATTTAAAAGTCATTTATAATACGTACTGTTCTGGCTATTCAGCACACCTATGGTTCCTGATGCAAACTGAAGACGTCTTCTAGGACGTTTCGTGTCTAAAATTATTAAAAAAATATTAAGTTGATACAGTATAGCGATAAAGCCGATATGTATGCATTATAATATGGTAGCTATAAACAATATAATAGCAGCACACTAACAGGTCCTACTACACTGCAACTTACTGTCTGTTTCTTCAGCCGAACTTGATGGCATTGCAGGCATGCTATTTTGTGTATTGACTACAACAGAAAGCTTTATGTTTATTATTTGTTGTGTTTAGTTATGAGAGGATTGAAAAAAGTGGCCTTATACTATAGTATACAAAATCAATTTGGTATATTACGATTTACCATTATCATGGAGAGCAATGCTATCTCGTTCATACACACACACACACACACACACACACTGGTTGTGCGATCAGTAAAAGACATGTTTTTGTTTATTGTTGTAACTGATCTATTACATACATATGCTGATTGTGCGATCAGTAAAAGACATGTTTTTGTTTATTGTTGTAACTGATCTATTATATACAATTAAAAAATATTAAAAGTTTAAAAAGCAAGACTAGTCCAACTTTTTATATAGTTTTTGTTGGCATAATTTACATAAACACCGTGCTGATCAAACCCTTAATCAATAATGAATAAATTGTCCATGTGGTCTGACCACGTAATATGATCATGTGATCAAACTGACCAATGGCAAAACGAAACTAATAAATATACTAAATGAAGTTTCCACACTCTCCCCCACCAAAAAGTAAATCTGGTGAATGTTTGGAAGTGCTTAATTAATTATATCGTTCTCGAATGCAACGCCTGTTTTGTCCTTCTACTGCTGCCTTTCGCGTTGGCCTTTTCGCACTGGTTTCCTTGTTCACATTTTCGTCTTTATCAACACTATCGTTAGATTCCTTCAGTTGCTGTTCACTCATACAGTCGTGATTCTCGTTGATTTCAAAAGGAATCAATCTTTGAAGCGGACGAAACACTGCCGTTTGTTTTCCCTTCTTGGAGAGTACCTTGAGCTTGGCTCCCCTTATCTGACCGTTGTGACCTTTCACTAACCCCAACACTTTCCCCATTCTCCACTGAGTGTGCACCGAAAGTTCGTCATCCTTGATTAGAACGACATCCCCCACGCTAATACGCCGTGTATTTTCACCTTTTGTCTTTGATATATATTCATTTGCCTCAATTCATTCAGATGGCTACAACGGAATCTTGCCCAACAGTCTCTCAATACCTTTCGCACATGAAGCAATCTATTTTTACATTCCTCCAGGTCCATAGTCGGAACAAAATCAATTGCTTTCGCTTGTTTAAATGCATTACGACCGTGTATTAGATGATGCGGCGTTAATGCGTCATCCAAATCGTAGTCGCTAACGTATGCTAGAGGGCGGTTGTTAATAGCCATTTCAATCTCGCAGAGCACGGTCTGTAACTCCTCAAAAGTTACAAATGCTTTAGGCACGTTTTCACTGTCCTAACAAGTCGTTCGTAGAACCCACCCCACCAGGGTGATAAGGGCAAAATAAAGTTCTGCTTGATCCCTTGCAATAACATGAACTTCTTGACTGCAGCAGCTTTGAATGTTTTAAAGTTATCGTGAATTATGACATCCGGACTACCTCTTCGCGCCATGAATCGCTTAAACCCACGTAAAAATCCACCGATCGACATATCCGGTACGAGCTGCGAGTGTATGGCTCGACTTGTTGCACAAGTTAATAAGAGAATGTATGTTTTCTCATGTTTCAAATCTCCTTTGACAAATAGTGGACCTGCAAAATCGAGTCCCGTTGCTTGAAAGGCATGTCCAGAGTGATCAACTCTAAAGTCAGGCAAGTCTGGACTTGGGGGAGCTCTCATAGGTAGTCCTTGCACATGTGTGCACACTACGCACTTTCTCAACATTTGCTTGACCGACCGTCTCCCTTCGACAATCCAGTACTTGGATCTAATGCGTGCCAACATTGTCTCTACGCCATGGTGCATTGTCTCTTCATGCGTGTTTAAAATCACCACCCAAATAAAATAGCTTTGTCTATTCTGTAAAATAATCTGGTACTGTTCTTCATATTGTAACGATGCATTGGCGAATCGACCTTGTAATCGAAGAACGCCGTCCTTGTCTTCAAATAAATGTAATGATGCTTCGAGCTTTGAGTAATTATCTTGTTGCTTAACTGGAACTGTTCATCTTTAATCCACATAATTAGAGCTTCGTTATATTCAGTGACAGTTATCATATCCTCCGTGATCAAATTTGTTTCTCTTTTCACTCTCTTTCGTAAATTGTTCACAAATCGTAATACGTAACCCGTTACCAGAATAAGCTTTTTTAGTGAGCTGAAGCGATCACTGTTAATGACAGAACTTAATGAACCTTTTTGGTTATCTTGGCCCTTGTGCGTCTGATTACTGAAGTTTGCCACTTCAGCCATTCCCGCCTGGGAAATCTCGCCCCCACCACTATTCTCAACTTCTACCTCAGCATAATCCTTTAGTGACAAAAGAAACGATGGTCTCTCAAACCAACAACCAGTAAAAGACTCACAAATATTGGAAGAAATCCTAGTAGGCACATCCGCAGGATTTAGCCCACTCTTTACATATCCTCCAACCAGCCCTATCAACCACCTTCCGTATTTCAACCACTCTATTCTCAACCCATGGTTTCCAAGATTTTTCCTTACCCCTAATCCAGGCTAGAGCAACCTCCAAATCAGACCAACAAATAATAGCATTAATACCAACTCGACTTCCTATGCTTGTGACTATTTGGCTAACCAACTTACTAAGCAACAAACAACCTAAGAGTTCCGATTTTGGTATAGTTAAGGCTTTTAACTCTTTCTCAGCCGGTAGTTTCGTATTACATTTCGATTCAATTTTTCTAATATAAATATCTCTGCGAGTATTTACCCCCCTTTTAAATAAATCCTCACAATATAACCTTTCAAAGGGGGGGTCAAGTGCCGTCAAAACATTACACAAACCGAAACAATCATATATTTATACTCACCGCTTCGCCAAACATTCAAACGAGAAAAAGAGAACTAGGGATCCAAGGATAGTGTGAAGTTTCAAATTTAAAAAGACACTGCAAGAACTATATAGGGTCGCCGACAACCTAGAAAAGCTTGATGGCTTACACTACGAAATAAACAGTTACCAAAGGCATTTCATCTCATTATTTATTGTTTTTAATACACTCGGCACACGAGTAGCGTGACGTTTGAAACAAGCCTAACACATCAGAAACGT